GACTCTCAACCACTGCGCCACCAGGGAAGCCCCTCATGTACTGTCCTTTTTAAACACATATACACCAGAACCTTTGTACGTTGTTGATTATACACTAGCATGACTTTAAGGTAGTTACTCCATTTTAGACTCCGATTGGAGACTTTTAACCATTACATATCCGATTCGTAATGATCTCAGAATATAAGGTACCCTTAAGAATTGTCAGTGATGTCAAGAATGGTGTTATGTTGGGCTTGTAATGAAGGTAGCATTATTTCATACGGTTGAAACATACGATTAACTGTCTTTCTTCCCCTTCACAGGCCGCCTCCACCACAACCGAAAGTATCATCTCAGGGAAATTTAATTCCTGCTCGTCCTGCTCCTCCACCTCCGTTATATAGTTCCCTCACTTGATTTTTTTTTTTTAACCTTTCATTTTGCAGACATCTTCAGGGAACTGAGCTAATACTTTTTTTTTTCCTGATATTTTCTTGAAAAACCTTTCTTCCTGCTGCAGTTATGAATGAAAACAAAATACCACCAAACAAACTTTATTAATACAGAAAAACAGAACTTGAGTAGTGGGAAATGAGAAACAGAAGAAATGCAGTAAAGCCAGGGAATTTAGAATAACATTTTCATTTCCATTACTGAATACATTTTATTCGGTCATCTGTGAGGTTAATGCACCTGACATGGATTATGTTATTTGAACACGTTACTGTAGTGATTTTCAAATTAACTGTATTGGTTTAAGTTTTGTCATTATGTGCTTAAATGTAATTCTGAATTTTGACCTTAGTTATCATTAATGTAGTTTCTGATTGAACATGTAATAACCTAATACCTGTGAAAACTAATTAGCTGTCAATTAATATCTAATATTTTTAATCTTGCACAGACTAATAATCATCACACACTAGAATTTTGTGTATCTCATTCACTACATGAATAAAGGAATACTCTGTCTTCAGAAGAATGCACAAAATACAGAATTAAGATACCATAATATAAATTTAAAAGTGCAAAAACACACTAAAAGTGTGTATGTGTATACTTACACACAGTTATTATCTTCCATTTTAATGAACATTCTATGGATATATGATTCTATGGATTCTATGGATAATAGATTCTGTGGATCTATCTATGGATAATGAATATTAGAAAAGTTAATTTAATAATAGAATTTCTATTATGAATCATGTTAAAGCATAGCATCCTTTTACAATAGCATTGTTTTAAATTAATTATAAACTTTAAGGTACGAAGTATTTAATAGAACTAATCAGATACGCTGTTGATTCTTGGCTGTAATAAAAAGCAGGAACAATTATAGTATCTTCAATCAATTGAGCTATCATAAAACCACTTGAGAATTTCATAAGCACTTTAATTTTAAGTCCAAAATCTGAAACTTCAAAGATTGCTATTAATATAATTTAGAATGTTTACATTTACTAAGGTGTGCTTGATAATGTCTCTGTTGACACTAATATTTTTAAAGAAATTAGGCTGGAGAAAGGAAGGAAGAAAAAGTTTTCTTAGATAAGTGCAAAAAAGTTAGTGGTATCTGTGAGTTATTGTCCCAGCTATGATAAAAAAATGAATTTTTACTGTGGAAGAAATGGTATGAATGATAAAAATTTAAGCACCTAAATTTTTTTGGTAATTTTTCATAATAAAGTTTATTAATAAGTTTATTAACTGAATTTCTTTAGTTTTTAAAAAATTTTTGGTTTGTGTATACATACATATACAAACATAAGATTTACCGTAAATAAAATACTTGAAATTCTGATTTGTGTTGCCCAGTAATTTCTTAAATACTCAGCTATTTATAACCTTATTAATTAAAACATTATACTAATTTTCCAGACTTCTGCCAAATTGTGAACAGTGGCTTTTTGTTAAAAAGAAAAACAGATTGGTTTTGAAGAAGACACACATCTGTCTTCTGAAGATGGTACATTATTTTAACAATCAGGTACATATTAAAAATTGTAAACAGTCCCAAATAAAGATTCTTCATTTCAATTTAAATCTCTGAATGAATTAATATACGACCAAAAATGTTTGTGTTTGTCACTGAGATAGTCCCACAGTTTTTACACAGCTTTGCAATTGTCATTCATATCACTGAAATTTCACAGTTGGTAATATATTAACTATGCAACTTAAAACTTTTTTCAGAATTAGATAATTCCTTGGATCTTTGAATATTTAGAAAGTTTTTCTAAAAGACTGTTGATCAGTCTGAACTTCTTTTGCTTTTATATATATTTTTACATATTTTATATTCTTTTCACTTAGGTTTGTCCTTGATTTATCTTGGATTGTTATTAAAAATTGTAAAATTTCTTGGTCATAGATGCCACTTAAAAATTTGAAAATATTAAAGATATTCTTTGCCATCTGCTAAAGATGTTTTAATAATCAAGGATAAATTGTATGTAACTTTGGTGTCGCTGTGTGACTGTGTTCACAAGCTTATTACCTTGTTCAAGGTATCGCATTTTCCCTTTCTATCAGGCAGCTGCCTGGGTCTCTAACCATCTAGTAAAACATGATCTAGGTTTTCTAAGCACAGATCAGATTTTATTAAATTCTATAAATGTTTACTGAAACTCTGCCATCTTGCAGGTACCACAGTACGTCATTAGGTCCTGTGATATATAAGTTCTGGATGAGACATGCCTCCCATTATAGAGGGAGTCATATACACAAGTAAGAATGACATAAAGTCTGCTTTTTAAAAGATTTAAACAGGAAAGGTTGCGGAGAAGGAAATAACAAAGAAGTGAAATAACTGGAAATCCATTCAAAGTACTTACCACTAATTAACAAGTCTAAGCATTTACTGTAACGGTTCTAATGCTGTGAAGCAAGATGAAACCAGCTTTTGGCTCAACTACCCCCTAAAAGAAGTGTTAGTCTAGCATTTGTTGTTCCTGTTGAGATGCAAGCTATGTGTATACAGTTGACCCTTGAACCACGTGGGTTTGAACTGCACAGATCCACTTACAAGCTTTTTTGTTTTCCAATAAAAATACAGTGGCACTCCATATCTGCAGGTTCACATCCGTGGCTTCAACCAACCGCAAGTGGTAAATAGTTCAGTATCCATGGTTGGTTGAATCTGCAGGTACAGAAATCGGAGGGCCAACATCGGGACTTGAGCATCTGGGGATTTTGGTATCCACAGTGGGTCCTGGAATCAATCTCCCCGTGGATACCGAGAGGCCAGTTGTATTTTTGTTGCCGTGTTTATGCTCATGATATTCTTTTGCAGACTTAGATTACCCTGTCGAAATCCTATGCATCCATAAAATTAGATCTCAACTGAGTTTAGATGTGGTGATTCCCCAAACGAACTTTTCTGTGTTACCACAGGACCTTTTAGTTTGTGTATCTGCCGTTCTGTTAATTGGTGTGAGAGATTAACTCATTCTTGGGGATTTGAAAAGAATTGAAGGATAGTGCATATACGTAGAGACTGGGGGGTGAGTCTGGGTGGGAGGAGGCATTGCAGTCCAAGGTAATAAGGCAATTTTCATTCAGGAAAGACAGGAAGTCATAAGTAGTCATAGCACTGGGGATAGAAGAAAAGAAAAGCAAAGCCTGGGCTCCGAATTTAGAAATTTTTGAATACTATGTTGAGGAATTCGGCTAGAATTTTCTACTGGAACATATGTACTGTAATTATGGGCAAAAATCTTGTCCATTTCATTCATTACATGAATGAATGAATATTTATTGTACTGAGAAGTTACTGAGCAGGCCATCACATGAATTTTTTGATTGGAGGAAAAAGTAGACACAGCCTGGTTACAAAGTGTATTTGGGCAGTGGGTATGGAAAAAAACCATAGCAGGTACTTTCCGAAGATACCAAAATCTACTCACTTTTCCCTTTCTTGGAATCGTTTTAAAATATATCTGGATTTTTGTTGTTGTTTTAATTAAAAAACCTCAGCTTTAGGAAATATGAATGTATAATTCGTGTGTGTGTGTGCGCGTGTGTGCGTATGCGCATAGTTTTAAATTCAGCAAGTAGTGTCTGATACAAAACAGCGCACAATAAATGTTAGTTCTTTTAGGTCCATCCACACGAAGCAAAAAGTTTGTGGGGGACGATGACCACGACGGAGAGGGCCAGGGTGGTCGGGGACCTCCAGACAACTGGCCATCGGGTAGACCGGGCTGCTGGGAAAAGAGCTTCCCGCGGACCCGGACGCACGACTATAAAGGGAGGCGTGCCCTACAGGCGATTGGTGGACTGGGCGCTGAGTACCGGGCGCTCCGGTAGGTGCCGCAGCCTCGCGAGAACGGCGCTCACGAACGGCCAACGGCAGTAGGGCTCAGGTCTCCGCTGGAAGACAGGAGTCACGAAATGTTCCGCCTAATGATGTTGTTAGCGGGCCTCCGTGGCTTGCTAATGTCAAGACCCGGTAAGCCCGAGGTTGCCCTGTTTGTTACTCCGGTAGGGGGAGGAGGAAGATTTTTCTTTTCCTTCTTTAAACGCGTACCTGCTTGGGTCAAACTGCGCCTCGACTCGATTGAAAACTCGGCGCCCTTCCCTGCTTTTAGGTTTCTTTTGCCAGTCAGGAAACCGGGCAGTTTTTAGGCGCTCCGTAGGGATACAGAACTGACTCACGAGAGAGGAAGATACTTTTAATAAGCTTAAGGACTAAATCTCTGACGCTCTGACTCTCTGAATCTGGGTTTGGGGCAGCCGTTTATGGAGGTTTGTTAGGCACTCACAAAACTACCTCACAATTTCTTGCGCTCAGAAGCACCCCAGAAACTTCATGAACTCTACTCAAACTCCAGAAAACGGTGTCTCCTCAGGTATCATCTGTTCCAGTATAATTTGTCCTGCATTCAGTAACTTGTCCTGCAATACCAAAAAAATATTCTATTGCTGACATTGTGACAATACGGGGAACAGTTACAGAGAGTCCTCAAAATTTTAAAATATATTGGGGGGGATTTAGATGCAAGTAAAATTTTAAGATATGTTCTTATTTTCCTTCCCTTTTTATACACTGTTCTGAATCTTCCCATTCTGTGTCAGTACATGGAATATCTTGTCTTCTCCTCCCCCATCTGCATAGTGTTCTGTGGCTTGGAGGTACCACAACTTAGCAGCCAGTTCTCTTATTAAAGGACTGTTGGATTGTTTCCAGTCATTTTTCTGTTACATGCTACACTGCTGAACTCGGACGGCAGTCCCCCGTTCCCCCCACAAAATACCCTAGACCGGCTGGCTTAAACAACAGAGATTTATTTTCTCACAGTTCTGGAGGCAGGAAGCCTGAAATCAGGGTGCTCTCATAGTGGGGATCTGGTGAGGTCTCTCTTCCTGGCTAGTAGACCGTTCCCTTCTTGCTGTGTACTCACGTGACCTCTTCTTTGTGAGCAGAGAGAAGGAGCAAACTCACTTGTCTCTTCTTACAAAGGCGTGAAACCCATCATGAGAGATCCATCTTCATGATCTCATCTAACCCTGATTACCTCCCAAAGATCCCATTGCTAAATACCATCACATTGGGGGTTAGGGCTTCCAATAGGAAAGCTGGGGGCGGGGGACACAACTTCACCATAACACCTGCAACATTTAAATACAGTGTTTCTGAAACTTTTCGGAATGTTTCTTTCAGCAAAGAAATGAACAAAAATGTAACAATTATTGAAGTTCTCAGAGAGCTTTTATGTTCTGCTTATATTCGTCAGTATTTGTCATATTAGAAATTAATGTAGAAATTTAAGAATTTTAATTAATTCGTTAAAAAATAACAGTAATGTTACTGAACTCAGGTTTGGCTGCTCGCGGCTCGAAAGCCAGTACTCGAGAGACAGGTATTGGTAGGAAAGGAAAGGTTGCTTCATTCAGGAGGCTGGCAACCTGGGGAGAAGGTAGACTCGTGTCCAAACACCAGCTTGGTTGTTGATCAGGGGGCAAGAGCTTTGAAAGGGGAGTTTCAGGGATGTATAGGCAGAGGGAGGGGCTACGACTTGCAGAACAGCACAGTCAGCTCCCACAGCCACGAGATTGGTCATGCGGTGGTCTGATCAGTGTCATCTTGATTGTCTTAAGTTCAGTTAATCTTCAGTTCTAGGGTTGGTTCCCATTTCCTTGAGGCCAGTTCTTGGAATTGTGCAAGATGGAGCAGCTTATGTCTTGGCTGCAGTCTGGTCATCACGTAGTTAACTTCTCCCACCTGGTGAGGGTTTCAGTGCCTGCAGAACAGCTCAAAGGACATGGCTCAGAATATTATCTATAGCTCTTGAAGAGGAACTAAAGGTCCTTGACTTTGTTTAATGGCTAAACTATTATTATTTTGTCTTGTTTGACTGCTTTCCTTTGGTTCTGCATTTTTTTTTCACTTCTCTGATTGAATTTATTCTTTGACTAAAGTTTTTCTACAGACAAGAGGCAGGCAGAGGACATTGGGTGTGTGGGGGGGTCTGTCCTGGGAAAGCCCCATAGGGTCCCGCTCAATTACAGTAATAGACCTATTATATGTTAATGTAAGTAACACATTTAAAAAAGAAAAACTATATTTTCCAAAACAAAGAATTTAGAGTGGCATTGTTTTACATTTTGTGAATCTCTTTAAGGTTTGGTTTAATAGATGACAGCTAGATTCTCATATCTACTTCTGCATTCAGTCTGTTGCCAAATGTTTTGTTTGAAGTATATGAAAAAATTCCAGCTTATGTAGTTGGAAAAGGGAGTAGTTTATGAGCCTTTTCAGGTAATTACCAGTATTCCTCTTTGGATGCTGCACCAAATACACACTTGATAAATGGTAAAGTTTAGTTGCAATGTGGAATCTAAAACATATTGATGAATTTTTCTTAATATGTTATGTTAAAATCCATTGGTCTGTTTTGAACTTTAATGGATATTTTACCCATCTGTTTTTTTTTAATACATTACCTTTGTTTTTTTCTTTTTTTAACATCTTTACTGGAGTATAATTGCTTTACAAAGGTGTGTTAGTTTCTGCTTTATAACAAAGTGAATCAGCTATACATATACATATATCCCCATAGCTCCTCCCTCTTGTGTTTCCATCCCACTCTCCCTATCCCACCCCTCTAGGTGGTCACAAAGCACCGAGCTGATCTCCCTGTTTTACATTTGGTAGTGTATATATGTCCATGCCACTCTCTCACTTCGTCCCAGCTTACCCTTCCCCCTCCCCGTGTCCTCAAGTCCATTTTCTACGTCTGTGTCTTTATTCCTGTCCTGCCTCTAGTTTTTCAGAAACAATATATTAATATATATTATTTTTTTTTTTTTTTTAGATTCCATACATATGTGTTAGCATATGGTATTTGTTTTTCTCTTTCTGACTTACTTCACTCTGTATGACAGACGCTAGGTCCATCCACCTCACTACAAATAATTCAGTTTTGTTTCTTTTTATGGCTGAGTAATACTCCATTATATGTATTTGCTACATCTTCTTTATACCTTTGTTTTAAAATTATTTTAAATTGTGGTAAAATATACAAAACATAAAATTTACCATCTTCAACCATTTTAAAAATGAATAAACTTTATTTTTTAGAGTGTTTCAGGTTCATAGCAAAACTGAGAGAAAGGTACAGAGATTTCTCACATACCCCTGTCCCCACACATGTACAATCTCTACTATAGGCGTCCTGCTCCACAGTGGTATGTTTGTTAGAATTGATGATCCCACACTGGTACATCATTATCACCCCAAATCTATAGTTTACCTTAGGATTCACTCTTGCTGTTTTACATTCTGTGGAATTTGACAAATGTATAATGACATGTATCCCCCAGAGTAGTTTTGCAGCCCTAAAAATCCTCTGTGCTTCATCTGTTCATCTCTCCCTTTCCCCTAAGTCCTGGCAACCACTGATCTTTTTGCTGTCTCCATAGTTTTGCCTTTTCCAGAATGTCATATAGTTTGAATCTTACAGTATGTTGCCTTTTTCAGATTGGCTTCTTTCACTTAGTAATATGCATTTATGGTTCTTCCATGTCTTTCCAGGGCTGCATAGCTTATTTCTTTTTAGCAGTGAGTGATATCCATTGTCTGTATATACCAGTTTACTTATCCATTTACCTACTAAAAGACATCTTGGTTGCTTTCAAGTTTTGACAGGTATGAACAAAGCTACCATAAATATCTGTGTGTAAGTTTTTGTGTGGACATAAGTTTTCAACTCCTTTGGGTAAATACCAAGGAGTGCTATTGCTGGATCATATGGTAAGGATATGTTTAGTTTTTAAAATTAGTGTCTTTTTGCTTCAGTATGAAGAGCTCTCTTTAACATTTCTTGTGAGGCCATTCTAGTGGTGATGGACTCTAACTTTTTTAAGGAAGTTCTTTATCTCTCCTTCAATTCTGAAGGACATCTTTGCTGGGTATGGTATCCTTAGGTGGAATTTTCTTTCTTTCAGTACTTTGAATATACTATCCCACTCCATTCTGGCCTGCAAGGTTTCTGCCGAAAAATCCACTGATAGTCTTATGGGAGTTCCTTTGTACATAACAAATTGTGTTTCTCTTGCTGCTTTTTTTTTTTTGCGGTATGCAGACCTCTCACTGCTGCGGCCTCTCCCATTGCGGACCACAGGCTCCGGATGCGCAGGCCCAGCGGCCACGGCCCACGGGCCCAGCCGCTTCGCGGCATGTGGGATCCCCCCAGACTGGGGCATGAACCTGCGTCCCCTGCATCAGCAGGCGGACTCCCAACCACTGCGCCACCAGGGAAGCCCCTCTCTTGCTTTTTTTTAATTTCTATTTTATTTTATTTTATTTTTTTTAACATCTTTATTGGGGTATAATTGCTTTACAATGGTGTGTTAGTTTCTGCTTTATAACAAAGTGTATCAGTTATACATATACATATGTTCCCATATCTCTTCCCTCTTGCATCTCCCTCCCTCCCACCCTCCCTATCCCACCCCTCCAGGCGGTCACAAAGCACCGAGCCGATATCCCTGTGCCATGCGGCTGCTTCCCACTAGCTATCTACCTTACATTTGTTAGTGTATATATGTCCATGCCTCTCTCTCGCCCTGTCACAGCTCACCCTTCCCCCTCCCCATATCCTCAAGTCTGTTCTCCAGTAGGTCTGTGTCTTTATTCCTGTCTTACCCCTAGGTTCTTCGTGACATTTTTTCTTAATCAAAACTACAATGAGATATCATGAGATATCATCTCACACCAGTCAGAATGGCCATCATCAAAAAATCTAGAAACAATAAATGCTGGAGAGGGTGTGGAGAAAAGGGAACACTCTTGCACTGCTGGTGGGAATGTGAATTGGTTCAGCCACTATGGAGAACAGTATGGAGGTTCCTTAAAAAACTACAAATAGAATTACCATATGACCCAGCAATCCCACTACTGGGCATATACCCTGAGAAAACCAAAATTCAAAAAGAGTCATGTACCAA